TCGCTACCACTTCATACGCGAAGCAGTCTCTAATAGCCTTGTTAAAATTGAATATCTTTCAACATCTGAGATGCCTGCTGATATATTAACGAAAAGTTTGAGTGCTGCCAAACATAACTATCTTATAAAATTATTAGGAATTCAAAATGTTTAAAATTGTCAAAGTTGTTAGTTTTATTACTGCTTAGTATTTGATTATTTTGATAAGTGGTGCTGTTAAGATATGTTTACTTGTATCAAAATAGTCTACTTGATATCAGTCTGTGCTACTTGTAGTCTGTGCTAGTATGTAGTCTGTACATTGTATAACTAATAAAGTCTCTTTGTTCTCAACCTGCAACTCATTCGTTTTTACACACTGTATACGTGCTAATGATAATATAAATAAATAAAAAATCTGCGTTTACTGCACAAGTCGTTATGCGAGAGAATTGCCATCTATAGTTCTAATATGTTCGCTCCATGGCTATTTGTTTTATGCTACGTTCGCCCTTTCGCACTCTCTCCCTCAATAGGTCTCAATTGCTCTCTCCCTTTTCTTCGAGAAAAACGCTGCACATCTTCGTGATGCCAATATTAATATTATTGCGTTTCATCTGTAAAAATTTTACCCTCATGCGCCTAAAGAAGTTTCACTTCAAAAAAATCTACCTTGGAATGTCACTGAAATAGCATAGAATGTTTTAGAATTGTTTCGAATAATACCCTAAATAGTCGCTTGGAGGTTGCGAATATTAACATTGCGATTTTGATTTTTTTTTACATTGCTTCTTAGGACGCAATGGACCGTTTTGAAGAAACACTTGATTTAATTTGTTGTGTACAGTATTGTATAAAATATTAATAAGCTAACTTAAATCATAGTATCTGAAAACATGAAATATATTTTTTTGAAGTTATACTTCTTTAGGCGCCTTATGAAAAATTGATGAGAGTGAAATTTTACGATGCGCGCGCCTGAGACACAAAGTTGTCAGTGTGATTATAGCGTGCGCGAGCGAGATGGGAATAAGACAATCTACAAGTAAAAAGAAATAGAATACATATACGTGAAGTTAGCAGCTATGCCAAGAATTTTGAATGACCATAATGACCTTTGTACCAGTACCTTTTAAACAAATAAAAGAGTTTTAATTATTTTTTCAAAGAAATTTAGCAATGCTTTTTCACAAAGACCTATTGTTACTTAGTTAAAAGGTTATGAAACATACTTAGTTATTAAATTGAATGAATAATAAAATAATAATTATTATTAATATTAATTAATAATTGAATAATATACTAAATATTATTAAATATTTATTATTAATTATTTAATATTAAAAAAAAAATAAAGAACGCCAAAGAAGTATAACTTCTTACGCGCCTACATAAGTACACACACACTTTTTTTTCTTTTCAGCGCGTAACGTTTACAATTTACAGTGGATGGGTACTTAAAAGTTATACCTTAATCTAAACAAAAGATTACGGAGACATATAAAAGTATGCAGCTGCGAGTATGCAGGTACAGTTAATATATAAATAAATGTAAACAAAGTACTCTTTCGTCTTCTTCGGTAAAATTAACACTGTTGTGAAAAGTGAGGAGAAACAGAAAGGTGTTTTAGTTAACATAGTGCAATTAAATGGATTCATGTTCTATGAAAAAGGGTAGGATTGAAAAATTAAACTTCGTACCGTACGTCCAAAAATTTATTGGATTATAAATATCTATCATAATATATTAAGATATCTGTGTCGGACGTCGGTTGTAATAGTACCTACGTGATACGTCTACTCTGTGAAATCTGTTTGCAATATTAAAATTTGAATTTGATTTCGATATTAAGAGTTTAAAATCATTAAATAAATAATCTTAACACTAATTTCCGTTTTCAAACGATTCTAAAAGAAAATAGGTATGGTTTTTTTGTTAGAAAAGTTCAATCATCAATTTTACAAGTGCAAATTGAAAAACTTTTAAAAGCGTTTCTACTTTAGCTACTAAATTATTAACTTAATCGTATTGTTTTAGTATCATGGACGATCCCTATATCTCTTGTCCGTATAACGCTTACCACCGTGTTCCTCGATCAAGAATTCAAAGGCACCTAACAAAGTGCCCAGATTTCAAATCAGACTGGGCTTTTTGTCCATTTGACCATAGTCACAGGATGCCTCAAAACGATCTTGCTGAGCATATGAAAGTATGTAAATTAGGAACTCAAATGGGCAAACAATAAGGTTATCATCAATAAGGTCTTTAAGCAACCATTACAAATACAACAAAATCCTCTTGATGATGAAATTTGGGAATAATTAATAAAACAGGGTAGCAGTATGCTCCTAATAACTTAAAAGTTGCACTTTACTTAAGGCAACATGTAATTTTAAGTTAAATATGAATATTAAAGTAAAAATTTGTTAATTAAATGGTTAAAATAATCCATATATAAACAGTTTTTTTTTAAATGTATATAGCAATTGTTATTATATACTGGTTTGAACTGACAAAAAAACCTTTTTGTGGTGGATAGTCCTTTTCATTGAGAAAGGCTTTAAAAAGGCACTGCTATCTAGACAAAAAAACAAACCACACTAAAAAAAAATTCATTTAAAGTGCTTCCAAAATTAGTGTATGTTGACATATTATTATTTATTTTCAGACTTAAATATTCCTAAAATTAACAGGCTTTAGGCTAATATTATTATATATCATATTTATTTATCTAGAAAACCTTACAGCTTACTAAGCATAATACAAAATAATGTTTATATCAACACTCCAATTAAAATGTTTACAGACTATACAATAATAGTACAAAGAATGCATGTAGGGTGTGTTCAAATTGGCTTGATTCAGTGAATCTATACATATGATTGTGTTCTAAGGATATCGTTTTTGAAAGAGTTGAGAGGGGAATCGAATATGTGTAGTATTGAAAAAAAAGTTGTATAGTGTAGGTGACTAATTAAATTATGAATAATTATATAGTTATTAAATGTGGGAATAACTGAAAGCAGAAGGGTATTTCTAGTCCTCGCCAGAGGAGTATTAAAGGTTATATACATCGCAGGAATTGAGGACAATCAAAATTATTATTAAATATGTATAAAATATAGGAACATAATGTCCACAGGTCACCTTTCATCTAATGTACTGATATTGAAGAAGGATCACAATTGCGGATTATCCTGGCAATATCTTTTTGCTTTGAAATTGTTTAATAAAGATATGTGGTAATTTTTCTTTCTTTCTAATATGCTTTTTATATAAAGTTTATCAACTTCACTTCACAACTAATACTTTAACAAAAGTAAGCTAACATTATTTTTGTTGATTCCCATAAAAATTAATTATTAATAAATTATGTTAAAGTGATGTATATGCACAACCAATATAAAAATTGCAAAGCTCACTAATACCTTAATACCAAAAATCTAATATCTGGAAAGAAATAAATAAGACTTGATACTTGACATTCTCAGTTTAGAATGCTGGTGTAAATGTAATTTATTATATATTATATTACTTAAAGACATTAATTACTAATATACCTACTATAAATGTGTCAGTGCAGTAATTCTGTAAAGTACAACTTAAGCTTTGTATTGTTTTTTATTATCTTTGCAAAAATTTAGATTATTAGTATTTACTATTTAGTATTTTTTCTTGCTATATATATATATTGCTTGTATATATATAGATTGACAAAGTACTTACTGGTTACTGAAGTACACCTCATATATAATGCATTTTCTACAGTACCTATAGGTTACAAACTATCTATTCTAAAATAAATGACAATTAGGGTGACTATTAATTTAACAAGAATAAAAAATACAATAAAAATATTACACTTCTAATTTTAGCCTATACCTATGTACTAGTAACTTGTTGCTTAACAATGCTGGATAGGTACCAGATAAGCGCTTTACAATGTTTTTTAATTGATGTGCCTACTACTAAATTTCAAAGCAGCATGTACTGAAACAGACAAAGAAATTTTTATGTTTTGTGCCATATGAAGAGTAGGCCTGCACTAGCTTAATAACATGCCATCTAGAAGTAAATAAAAAGAATTCAATTTACTTCAATTCTAAGTACCTACACCAAAGATAGCCTAGTTACACAAAACAAAATGTTCAGTGATTCTCTGCCAAAATTATAATACTCAATAAGTTAAAAATATATGAAAAAGAAGTCTATCCTATGGGCTTATACAACATCATAATAATAATAGTAATAGTAAATAATGTAAGTAATAATAGACATTTATTTAAAATTTGGCTTCTCGCTGTATATTACAAAGGGAAAGTTTGTGAGGTTGTAGGGCCAGTAGGGGTAATAATGTAATATCCGGATCTGGGTATTAAGTAGTATCTTTATAAAGTCTGTGTTACGGTTACCTAATACCTACACTGAAAGAAGAAGATGCATTTAAGTTCAATGAAGGTATTTTATTAAACTTTATTTACTTAAATTATTTCATATCTGTTATTTTGATATGGTCTATGGGGCATTGGTAATTGTATGAGTTCTATGATCCTTCGTAGAAAAATCAGTGAGACACACACTTCCGGCCTAAAAAAAAAATATGTTGTCTGTGGTTTGATGTAGATATATTATAATTGATTTTAAATAGTATTATTTATTGTAAATGGATATAAATCAATTCTAGAATCAAGTAGAAATTTTATTTAATAAGTCGCTTAAAAAACAGCAATGATATTAAAGCAATTACCACCTTAAATTGATTTAATAGTTTTTTTCCCTCTAAGTTTTTGAATAAATTCTACCGGAAATTCGACTATAGATGCGTTTGTTTCCGAAAGTGAACGTTTCACGAGTCAACAGCAACGTCTTTCAAGAAGTTATAGGCACTGTTTGCGACATTTTTCTTTCTTTATCCGTCATCAAATATTTTATGTGATGAAATAACACGTTGTGTAGCATATATTTCAATATTAGTGTTAATAGTCGCAATAAAGTATCCGCTAGATTACGATAAGCTAATATGGGCGACGAAAGCCACCCGAAAACTCTCTACGTCGGAAATTTAGACGCGAGTGTGACAGAGGAATTCTTATGCGCGTTATTTGGACAAATAGGCGAGGTAAAAGGTTGCAAAATAATACGGGAGCCAGGTAACGATCCTTATGCGTTCCTTGAGTTTACGAATCATTCGGCGGCGGCTACGGCTCTGGCCGCCATGAACAAACGAGTGTTTCTTGACAAGGAAATGAAGGTTAACTGGGCTACAAGTCCGGGTAATCAACCCAAGACAGATACGAGCAACCATCACCACATATTCGTGGGTGACCTCTCGCCAGAGATAGAGACACATATTCTTCGAGACGCTTTTGCACCATTCGGTGAAATTTCGAATTGTCGAATAGTGCGCGACCCACAAACACTTAAATCTAAAGGTTATGCATTCGTATCATTTGTGAAAAAAGCAGACGCTGAATCTGCGATACAGGCTATGAATGGTCAGTGGTTGGGATCGCGTTCTATACGTACTAATTGGTCGACGCGCAAGCCTCCAGCTAAGGGTACGAATGAAGGAGCTCCAACTAGCAAGAGAGCAAAACAACCTACTTTTGACGAGGTTTACAACCAAAGCTCACCAACAAACACCACAGTGTATTGTGGAGGCTTTACTAGTAACATAATTACTGAAGATTTAATGCAAAACACATTTTTACAATTTGGTCCAATACAAGATATAAGAGTGTTCAGGGATAAAGGTTATGCGTTTATTAGATTTACCACTAAAGAAGCAGCGGCTCACGCTATAGAAGCAATACATAACACAGAAATTAGTGGACATACTGTAAAATGCTTCTGGGGGAAAGAAAACGGAGGCAATGAAAGTCAGGTATATAAAACAAATATAACTGTTTAATATTTGTTGTTTATTTGAGTTATGGATATCTATCACTATTTTTTCAGAGTACAAGTAATCCACCAACTGCACCACCAGCAATGGGAGCACAATCACAATACCCATATCCATATCAACAAGGCATGGGATACTGGTATGCTCAGGTAAATAATCTCTGCTTCAACAAAATGGTTAAAACAATATTTTGTAAATACTATGTACTGTTTAATCCTAAAGAATCGTTATCTGATGAAATCTGTGTATAACAGAAATAGAGAGATTCATAAAGGATTGGTTCCTTTATTCTTTCCTATAAATTGATTTTTTTATTGTTGATGGTTGATTGTCATTAAAATATGAATATGGATAGAGCTTGTACACTTTACAATAATTTTGTCTGGCATATATTAACAATTTTTTTCAATAAACTGGTAATTTCTTGCAACATTAGATAAACGCTACAAAATGGTTATAAAATAATTTTTACACATTATCATATAGACGTACTAGCTATGAATTTGCTCATTTGGAAATGAACATTGTAATACAGACTGATATATAAGAATATATATTTTACTTATTTATTTAGTCTTTTCAATATATTTTTTTAAATTTATGAATTAAAAAAATTACGTTGGTCAAATATAATGCTAAGTTCTGCATATATTATTAATATTCACAAAATTAAAACTATAAAATGTATAATATTTTTGTCATCATATAATGACTATTAAAATATAAAATACAAGTAAAGGGTTATTTGTTTTATATTTTGACACCTAGACATTCAGCTGAGTACTGTCACACATTTATTCAAAAATGTGTATTTGAACTATATTGACTCATTTTACGCTCACTTTAAGTGACTTAGTGACTTATAGATATCGCGATGTACAGTCTACATTCTATTGATCCATTGTTGCTAATGATGTGCATGCATCATAATGGATGGGATTTACGCACACCGGACCTAATGAGCGTCTAAGTGCGGAAACTTGAGTCTACCAACCATAATGGTGGGATTTTTTACTAGTTGATAGTAAAAAAAATAATTTGACTTAACAAGCATTGATTTCTACAAAGCTTAGGTCAAATAAAAGTGTATGGTTAATCTATAAGTTTATACTTTAAGTCACTTAATTTACTTTTTTAAAAACTTTACAGGGTTACCCTGCAATACAAGGCTATATGGCGCCTGGATATTATCAGCAATATGCCGCATACAACAATCCGCAAGCAGCAGCAGCCGGTAAGAATTTAAAATAGGCCATCTATAGGTAGTGGTTATTTGCTTATTATTTTGAAAAATGTTGCCTTGAATACAAATATATCTGAATTATTCAAAAGCAAATGAATGGATTATTTTATTTATGGAATGACTTAATACATATAGTGCGTTCTACACCTTATCCAAAATTATCAAGATTCAATTGATTGAATTGAATTGATTCTTTCTTATCAATCAAATTGTTGCAATTAATCTAGAAATAATATAAAATATGTTGTTGAATTATATTTGATTTGATTATTATATTAATACTAGCAGACCTGGCAAAAATGGTTACAGTACTTATAATGCTATTACAAATAATAATTTGCATAAAAAAAAGATTTTTGAAATCATAAAAAAAATATTGATTTTGTCCTAAAAATAATACAAGAATTTTAAGGGTTGTCCCTTATCACCTATAGGTATTATAGCCCCTATTCTCAGATGTTGAAAACAGAAGAGCAATAAAGGTGCGAATCTCATCCCTTAGGCTGTGCACCAATGGACTTTTAGTCTATGTGCGCATTGTATAGTGAAGAAAAACATCGGAAGGAAACGGGCATGAATTAGACCCTAATAGTCGACGGCACAGGTTGTTGCGCCAAGTCTCAGACAAAATCTACACAAAATATTTCATAGAAATTGGTAAAGGCGTTTCGGTGGAATTTGGTTACAAACACTGAGTTACAAGAATTTTATATGTATAGATTAAACTTAAGAAATTTTACTATATTGCTATATTATTTAATTGCTATATCTTTCTAAGCATACTATGCATTATTAGCATTAAGAGCACAGTTACTTAGTTAAAGATTTTTTTGTTATTTATTATTATTATTCCATACAAAAAACAATACTAATTATAGTGACAATGCCTAAGATATCTGCGTTTTTGCATGATAATTTTTCTTTATAGGCTAGTGATCAGCCTTTTGTGCTTGACACACGCTGTCGACTTTGGATTTTATAGCACAATTGAGACTTAGCGCTAAGTATACATGTATTGAAATAAATATACATTGGCATGTTAAATCCAAAGAAGACTTACTTAAAGAGGTCATACTTAGTGCTAAGCCTCAACTGAATTTTACCCTTGGACTCAAGGCTTAGCTCTGGTTGACACACGATGGTATCTTTCTCTCTCTCGGGTACGATCGCACAATCTCAAGAGTGTCGAGAGGCCCCTCATGAAGTTTAAATGAAGCTATAGGTCTAGTATAACTTGTATCTTGTATGAGCCTATACACTTACAGGCTCATTCAAGCGCAAAAATATAATTCCAGCTGGATATCGCATGAGCATGCCGGGCGGTGCAGGCGCAAACGGCGGGTCGTGGGGCGGGTCGGCCCAGCCCGTCATGTACGCGTCGGCCATGCCCTCGGCGCAGTACCCCTCCCAGTAGCCGTCACACGCACACGCATACCTTACACTGGACAATACCGAGCGCACACACACCCGCCTACGCGCGCACGGCCCGAGTTGACGACATCCCATGGACACGTCCTGGCCTATTGAGGTCACGGGAAGACTGTCTCTGGCGCGTCTCATTAGATTATGGCTAACATTTTCAAGAAATGTCTGACAGTTTTCGACAATGGTAGTCATCTCAGTAGGGTTCCTGTTTGGACTTTACAGTCGCCGCAGGCCCAGTTATATTTAGATTGAATTAGGGTTTGTTTAATCTCATAAACGTCATCAAGGGATGGGGTGTCAACCTGCGCCAGGCGGACCTTTTTATATACATACAATTAAAAACAAATACATTTAAGTTAGGTTTACAAAATGTTTTTTACTTCTGACATCGGATGCATCGCGTGAACGTGATGTTCAAATGTCTTGTTAAATTGGTTTATACTGAAAAATTTGTTTGTGTAATACTGCATCACACAACAATACTCAAACCCCTTTTCTTGATTCTATGCTAGATTTTGTCCTTTCGACAAAACATCTGTAAGGTCTTGTAAGCAATAAATGTTCTGTCCATTATTTGCCTTCACTGCGATACATTCTCTCTCTGTAAAGAATGAGTCGTTAATACTATTGATTCGTTACCGAATTCCCTCTTTCTGCAGTTTATGCGCGGCATATACCAAACTATATATCTTTTTAATTATATACACATTCTATAAATTTTATTTTGCTTTGTTTTGTCAGACGTGTTTAAAAATCGAGTTTCAATTTTACACTTTTTAAATATAGCTACCGTTAAAACCTCGTGTTTTTTGAACGGTGCTATAGTAACGGTACTAACGCTCAGATTCATTTATTTTTATGGTACTTATAAAACGACGTTCTCCAACACAGACCTAATTATATTAAGTAAAGTTACTACTTTAAGACAAATTTCTACCTTTATATTTGTTGAACATTAAGTTGCCTGTTTATTTTGCAAAGTATTCCGTCTGTGTTGATCTTCTAAACATTCCAATCAACATTATTAGCCAATCACAGATCTACCTTTAAGCTTGTCGATTCGCTAATGACTGTTGAGATTAACCTCGTTTTATCGTACCATAACCGAGATCTATTGAGATAATCTCAGCCTTACAACACTACAAATAACTTTACAGAATATCTGTATCTAGCCAGGTTTCGTCCAGTGTAATGTTTGTGTTCTGACATCCGGATGACCTGACAGCGGGTGGAAGTGCGCAAACTAGAGTCGATTGTTTATGGGCTGAGTTGATTGAGAAAGCGCCATTGAATGTTTTTGTTTCTCTCGGCGCCCACACATAGATAGGACATAACGAAATAAATTATAAATTTAAAAAAAAAAGTTATATTTAAGGGAGGTTGTGTCGCGAGTGGGCTCGTGTACATATTTGATATTTATTGGAAGCCCCGAAGGCAGACTGAGTCCGGAACACTACGGAATCGCCAGACCGTTTGACGTATTTAAGTTCGGCATGTTGTTTTGTTTGTCTCAATAATTGTTATGATTTATTGTATGGAACACTGGTGAGTCAATAAAGCAGTGGGTCTGGATCCGGTGTTTGATTTAAAGAAATTTGTATGCTCTATTTAATGGCATTGAAACCTGTGATTTATTGAAAGTGGTTAAATGAAATATTATTGTAAATTCCCGATATCTTTTTGTAAAAAGAGAAATAAATAATTTAAGTTGATTAATCACTTTTTGATTTGATCGTGATTTAACCCCATCAGGATAAAAGTTCCTCACCATTGCTGAACTAAATAAAGACAGGATTTTCACTCTGTATTATATAATAATTAAATGCCAGCGATTTTCTATAATCTCTGGTTGTAATTCCACCAATATCAACTGTCGCTGATTGTTATTGTACTATGATACAGATGAGTCAGTGGAATTATACAAATATAGAAACTGTATATATACGGGTCTAATGCTTAACCATTTTGTAGATAAGATATTTAGAAGTAAAACTATTGTGTTGGTAATTCAAAAGCTTCTTGATGTTGATGACATTGTGGTGCTGTGACATTTTCTTTTTACTTTTGAAATGTAAAGCAAACTTTAGTTTATAAATTTATGCTAATGACCACTAATCGAATAATTTTAGAGGAACAGGTTCCCTGAAAAAGAAATTGTTTATTTTTCGATCTTCAACCTTGAAAATAAAATGTAGCCTTCGATGACATATTGGTCTTCTACTACGACTTTATAACCTTACTACTAAAGTAACTCACGATTAGTTGAGTTTTTCAAAGACGTTCAAGTCCCCTATTATGGTATAGGAGTGGTAGAATTAGCTTAGCCTACGTATAAAAATTATAAAAAAAAAAATTGTGGTCGACTCGCAGTATAAATACGAGTAGTATATACACATTCAGTATTTCAAATGCAATTTTTTTTATGCTAGTCATACTTTGCACTAGGTATTAGACTTATCTTAGGAAACCCTGTACACTGACCCATTATTGCCACATGGTGATTGTGGGTGGTTAACAGGTCTTTTTATATCTATGTGATGGTACAAGTCAATTTGCAGAGATACCATTTTAGCTTCAGTTATTACCAAAATGTCGCTTAAACCGAACGCATCGATAATACTTCTTATAACTCATTAAATATCTGTTGTCACAAAACTTTACTTAGAGTAGGTAACTAGTGTTTTACAAAGGAACATCATGAGATTTTCATCAGATCAGACAAGTATTGAGTTCTCTGTTCTACGGATACCCAAAAAAATGAGCAGCACTATGTATACCACAAGTTTTTAGTCCTAAGATCTATTTTATCCAGTTTTATGACACTATGAACATGTTGTTTGTTTAAGTATAATATATATATCTAAAAAGTCGAGTTATTTTAAGCTAAAATACTTGAGGTGAGTCGTTGTTTCTATTATAAGAAATTTGAATACGCCCATGATATGTCGCATTCCTCATCAGATATTATCCTTAACCCATTTGTGACATCACACCGGATTGTTTTGAAAATTCAAAAGCTTAGGAGAAATGACGTGAAAATTGCAATGACAATGATCTAAAAATAAGGTCGGCGTCCGCGCGGGTACGGACGCGGGTATAAGCGGTCTCCGCGCCAGTCGAGGACCAAACGTCGCGAGATACAGTCGAACGATCCTGAACAGCAACCATGGTTTACGAAAGTGACTTCTACACGACCCGCCGGCCTTACCGGTCGAATTACAGCGTGACGGTAAGTGCCATCATGCCTTCTAACACCTCTGAGCGTGAACCTCGCTCCATTCTCTTCCCGGGAGCCGGACGCCCTCGCACCAAATCGACCCTCGTTTCCTTTAATCTTTACGCGTTTTATTCGTATTATTGGCCGCAGTAGTTCTGCATCAGATTTCGATAGCTTGTAAACATTGCTTATTAAGTAGCCATTTGACCGTGTCAACATTTAGAGTAGTGCAGAGATCGATAGGATATCGCGGCAGCAATCCGCAAATGGGTCAAATCAAGAATTTAAGTATTTGAAAGCGGAGCTACCGGGCGAGCCAAATATAGCCACGGCTGGAGACGCCCGCCCGAATAACGGCGAATTATACGCTTGCAGCGGGCGGGCGACTGGGAGAAGGTGCCGTTCGTCCCGCGGCCGAGTCTCGTCCCGGACCCTGTCACTGCCTTTGGTCGCAAGGCGAGGCCTGGCGCGCGCGTCTCTGTGCTTGACCCGACCGTGCGGCAGAACATACTGCCCAAGCCTGAGTCGAAGCTTGCGCCCCTAGCGCCCTACGTTTCGCCTCGCGATCAGACGCGTGCGCGGGTCCTCTCCGCAGTGGGCCAGCGCGAGCGTGCGTACGAAGCCGACCCGCTGGGCACGCCGCGCGACCACATGGACGTGTTGCTGGCGCAAGCGCACGGCCACCCGCAGCACACGCCGCATCGACACGTCTTCTACAGCAACTATGCCACTTACTGAGCCGGTCGCGGTCGTTTCGTGTGTCGCTTTCGCTTTTCGCTAGGGGGTCGGGTAGGTGCTCGGGCGAGAGGACGGTGAGTGGGGCGAGGTCTAAGGGCGCGGTTGTTGCAGACGCCGCGGCACTACGTGGTGGTGGACCGCGAGCCACTGTCGACAGGTCGACGCGCCGAGGAACAGTACTCGTACTCATACTCGACTACGGCTGAGCGGTCGACGGGCAGCGGACTGCCGCAACGCAGCTCCTACAGCAGCACCGTGGAGCGGCGCGGCGGCTCTGGCCCCGGCGGCTACTCGTACACGAGCGAGCGGTCGAGCAGCTTGGGCGGCCCCAGCGGCTACTCCTACTCGTCCACAACCAGCGGCCGTCTGCCCTACGGCACCAACTACCGGCACTACTCTTACCGTGTCTAGCGCCCCGGCTCCCGACCTTCTTTTTCCTCGATCCCCTCACCCCTAACCGCCTTCCCAATTTAATCAGTATTCGCTAACGCAATGTGATCGCTCTACTTTCCTTTTTATAAGTAGACGTGAATCTCGTTTAAGCTTTTTGGTGTTTAGAATTAAAATACTGTTTATTTATTATTTTATAATTTAGACTGAATTTTTAATAAAAGCTTGTGATTTTATATTTCTTGTTTATGTCATTACAAACACTTATTTCTATACACTTACTACCTAATGTCGATAATGAGCTCGACATCAAGCTAACATTTTTGTCATTGTGTTTATTACTGACTGTCAAATGAACCGCCTATTTTAAGGAGTGACCTTTGAAAGCATTATTAAAGCAGGGAGTAGGAAGGACCAACGAACTAGGTACCTGTTAATACAATATTATTGTAATTTAGAACTACAGCTCTTTAGATATAAAAACTTTATACTTTGCACGTTTGTATTCTGTTTTTAATCTGTTGATGGATAGTTGGATCTTAATAACATATCGGAGGAAATTAGTATTAGGTTATAATTTAGCTTGAGCCATTAGTCAATATAAACATGGCGTTATAACGATTTAAATTTTAAAAATAAAGTTACTCTTTAAATCCACGAAATATCAATACAATAAAGCTTTAGGATATTTATCAAGACTCCTATTTATCATATTGCTGCAGCCGCTGACGTCGGCGTACTACCTATCTTCTCTTCTCCCGGGTTACAATATACCTTACGTCACATATATACCAAAGCTGTCTCAGGTGAGTTTACAGCTGTAAATATGCGTTTTGAATCACGCGCATTTTTCCTTTGGCTGATGAATCATATCTCATACCATCAACAATGCAACATTAAGAAATTTTTGTAGGCTTCAACAGTTTTATTGCACGGTGCACCTCGCTCATATTAGCTTTACTCAGCACAGTGATGGCAAGCATTGGCATATGCAAATTCATTTATAAGAATTAGCTCGCTTACATAGATCAGAATATTAAATACATAAAACTTTGGAGTAACTGGCATATACAAGGCGAGTACGGATGGTCGGGGTGGAGCTGGTACATCTGCTCTTACGTCCCTGGATAAAATCGAAGACCTAGAAGGGTAGGTCAAAATAAATAATAACTGACGGTTGTGTATCGAGGTAACTTAAATTCTTAAAGTCTGTCTGCCCCTTCTGGGAACAGGTGGAAGTTATATTAAATAATCACCTTAAAATGTATAATGTGATATCCATAAGCATTTAGTATCAATATTATGTATATAAGTCTCAGATACGTATCGTAAACGAATTGCTGCTTAGGTATTTCTATTGGACAATTTCATAAGATTATAGGTTTACAAAATAAATGCTCGTCGGCTACTAAGATTTATTTATTTAATTATATTAATCATTTATACCACTACCCTCACAGCCAATAGGCAATGCGATAGTTGTGTAACTTAATTTGATACAATTTCTTAAATAGCAGTTAGGCATATGCGCTAAAATACAAACTCAACTCAAAACTCAAAAGATCTTTATTCATGTAGGTAAACAATTACACTTATGAAATTTCAATTTAAATTAGTAATTGTAAATTTACATTTACTACCAGTTCGCAAGTCAAGGGCGTAGAGCGGGTAAGAAGAACTGGCAAGAAACTTTCCGCCACTCTTTTTAATCGCCAAGTATTGTCATACAAATTGTTTGAACTGGAGCAAATCAATCCCAAGGATTAGGATCATTTAAGTATTCCTCAAATTTATAAAAAGCTTTATTGATTAATTTAACACAATTTTACATATGTTACAAAGATTAATTAAATACATCAATATGTCCTTTATTTTTAGTTGCTTTTTTACAACAAATTTGAACTGATTCATACTATTTATGGAGAGAAAAAATATATCTATAGGGATACATATATACTTAAACTTGATTTTTAAAAGCCTCTTAACAGGTAAAAATTGCAGAAAACATAGATATCGATACATTTCTTATTTTTTGGAATAAAAATACTTGTAGAAATAAGTATCTAATGATGGTAGAATATCGGAAAATATAAATACTATAAATACTTTATAAGCCGCTATTAAAGTACATAACTAAAGTAATATACACATACAACATACCGACAACTGAAATAATATCGTTTCATAGAAAAGGCGTTTGTGATTGCACGAAAACTTGGCTGTTTCCCAAAGGCCAGTGGAAATGGCTGCGTATTACGAAAACAATTTACTTTTGTACAGTTTTATTTGAATTAAACGATGTTTTATATTAGGATATTTATGTAAACATACATAAAACTACAAAGTATCAATTTCATTAAATAATTTGCTTAAAAACTCTACTGTTTCTCTATATCAAAACCAATATAAGTAGGTATTTTAAGGACACGTGCATTTCAATCTACTGGAAGTTTATTCATCTACCTACAGAAGTTATCTAAATGTCGAAACTGATTTTATCTTAATCTTGGCATTTTTTTAAAATATTTTAGAAATAAACGCCTATAGGCTATGTTACATAAGGATATTATAGCGTTCTTGTGGTGACAATTTTGAAATAGGTCCGATACTTTTTAAGATATTTTTTTACAAATCTTTCCTCTTAATAATATTCGTCCTTTGCCAGCAAAACATCCAAGCCATAAATTTCTTAAAGTTAGCCTCAGTTCGGGATGACCTATCAACAACGTGTTTTGTCTTTAAGAATTTATTAAAGAACTTTCGCGATTGATCTATATTTAAACTGATTGTGTTGATGTGAGCTATGCACGAATCGTAGAATCAGAAGACAACGAAATTTCTAAGAATTATTATTATAAGTACAACTGAAGTATTTAAAAGAAATGATGTTATTCGTCTTAGGTAAAGCGCAAATATCTATGATTAAACTACGTGCCTATATTCAAATCCGTCTATTAAATTACGTAGTTTTTTATAGAACGGGGCAAACGGGAAGGAGGCTCTCCTGATGTTAAGTGATACCGCCGCCCATGGTCAATGCCAAAGGGCTCGTGAGCTAAAAATAAACAATAAATATTTAAAGGGCTATTAACGCTTTCTTCTTAATTCATTTCTAACCATTTCCGATAGCATGCAAAGTAGATACCTACTAATTGTTAAATTTTATTGATTCTTATTAACAATTTTCGCATTCTTTTCACTAAATAAATATAAAAAATAATATAAAATTAGAAATAATTTTATTACAAAATAAAGGCTTTCATTAATTTCTCTGCAAATATCACTTCTGGCTGTGCAATTGTTTTAGTAGCTATACCTACCTACAGGCTACATGTACATATTTTTTGGCTTTCAGTTCAGTTGACAATTTAGCTGCTTCCATGCTTACAATATTACTTTATTTAAGTTTATACTTTAGGATTTATACCCAACATATTGCATTTTTCAGGCAGAACTAATTTACCGACCAACATCTCGCGCCGTCACTCGGCTCGTCACGTACCCTGAAGCGCCTCACCATATTGTGCGTGTCCGCGTCCGTCCTTCTGTAATTCTTCGCGAGCTCGACCGCATTGCTTACCGCCGACGCCCCGCTCTCGCTGTGTCTGCAGTTGACGACTTCTATCGCTCAGAATCAACCAAGGTAATGCTATACCAGTGTTTTATACCCCTGTGTTATTAATTAAGCCAAAAAGGTTTCCGTAAGAATTCTATGGTGAAAATACGCAATTCCTAAGTAGGGAGGAAGAAATATAATTTTACTTGTACCATGTTTATGCTCGAGTCGTCGGTATAAAAATTAAATAATACTTGTACGAGTATTGCTGTAACCAAATCAATGTAATATTCATGTTTCCGTATTTTTTTATATTGTACTGTGCTTTAAATAAAACAGCTACAAGCAGTGGCGTAGCTAGGTAACCAAGGGCCCTGGGGCAAATTAATAAATGGGGCCCCACTGCTATGTAAACTGATAGGTTTTATCAAATAAAAATATGAAATATACAAATACTTTAAAAATGCTAAGCTACTTAAGCTCTTTTTGTGCAGGGCAGGTAATAAAAATATTAAACAGTAACAACATAAATTACAATTAATACTTGGTGTAGGTTTGGAGAATTGAAATACAGAAGATTCAAGGGTTTATTATATAAACTATCCGTCAAATTGACAACACTGCCAACCTACAGAAAGAATTTAGGGGAATTCCCTAGGTATAACTTTTGAATTTCTGTCAAATTAATGTCTTGATTAAAGTGGGGTTGCCAGCTGTCATATTTATTTTGAAAATGGGAGAAATTTCCAAAAGTTTAGAACGATCGAGATTTCTGGTGGGGATTCGAGGGCCCCCTGAGCTTGAGGGCCCCGGGGCACTGCCCCGCCTAGCCCCTACGTAGCTACGCCGCTGGCTACAAGTAGGGATCATGCGTACATAGGTTTACTGAATCGGAAAATATAATTATTGCTACGTATTTATTAAACATCTATCCCCACTTACACGTGGTGATGAAATTTCACACTCGGTTTACCAATTTAGACTGCATTAGTTATATTTTTAATGATTCTGAATACTTGCCAGAGGTTATGAAAAGGGCCAAGGTTGTATGAAAATACATTGTGATATAGTAGGTAATATTCTTACCCACTTAAAGAAAAGGAGTTATCTAAAAAAACTGACGAGACTGCAGTGATGCATGTAAGATGTCATTGGTATTTGTTCTGTTAGAAAACATTTAATATTACCCTACAAACCTTACGGTCTGATGTGGTGTGATATGTAATATTTTACTTTATGCAGGCTTTTGAAGACGAAACTCGTCGAATTAGAGCAGATACAGCTTCCCTTTTAAATAGGGCACGCTCTGTCGTGCCTCGGGCTAAAGCTATCGCTCCCTTGGATACCATCTACTCGTAAGTTTTTGTGTTATTTATTATCTATACAGTATCTATACGGAGATAAAATATAATTAAGCATCTTAGTAAAGGTAAAGTTGCCAATGTAGCGATATCGTAATCGATGC